TATGTGTGGTGACCACGTCTGTGAGTGTGAGTGACCCAGACATGCTGCATGTGTGGTGACCACGTCTGTGAATGTGAGTGGCTGTGGAATTGTAGACGCCCAAGCTTCCTGTTGCTTTTGAGCAGGGATTCTTTCAAAGCTTCCAAATAACATGCTTCATCCTCTTCTGCCATGCATTCATCATCATCGTGAGGAAGAATCCTAAACTCTGAATCCTATGACACAGTCCACTTCAGCGACCTTGAATTCACTGTACAGGCTACTTTTCATTTTAGGCCTCCATATTAGACACACTTTAATATCTATGTTCTTCTTTAATTACTTAGGAACTGTCTTTAGACTGGGGTAGGGTCTGTTTAAGCTGTGCAATTCTAGTGCTGTGCAAAGAACCTTGAAGGTCTAGTGCAGTCCTCACTGCCCGCCAGTGATTCCTTCATGGCTTCTACTGTCAACATGACAGCACACGGTTTGCAACAGTGCTACTGCCTCAAGCTCATGCAGATATTCCAGCTGTGCCACAGGTCTGCATGAAGGGCTCTTATCCTACCATCAAGCAGCTCACAGGCAGTACAGCCCAAGCTCCAAGGGATATGTTGCCATCTTCTATGCGCTACAGGCCCCCACACATGTGCACACACACACACACACACACACACACACACACAAATAAAAATAAATCTTCCTTAAAAGCTATTTTTAAAAATTATTACAAAACATTCAAACACATTAGTTACATTCTGAAGAACAGTAGTAGAAAACTATTAAAGTCCATATTTTCTGTAATTAAATCATGTAGATTAAAGGAGGAAAGTTTTCATATAATCCATTACACAAGAAGATCTCAATTCTTGACCGAGGTGTTTCGGGCAGCCTCCACTGGCCTTTCATGGTATGACCACATGCACAGTACACATCACCCATGCCTGGTGCTCAGTGATCACTTGTTGCTACCCAGGGAGACACTCCCAGGAGCTCACTGGGCTCATCACTCATTTAATTTGGATTTCTTATTTGATCATTGCAGATTCAGAAACGTTTTACTGTTGTCAAATATTTGCAATCCCCATGCAGATATACTACCCTAGGTAATACCATGACACACAATTTAAGAATTTGTGACTAACACAAGGCGGTGGTTCAATCCCAACACTCGGGAGGCAGAGGAAGGCAGATCTCTGTGACTTCCAGGCCAGCCTGGTCTACAGAGCAAGTTCTAGGACAGTCAGAGCTATACAGAGAAACCCTGTTATGAAAAACAAACAAACAAACAAAAATAATCTGAACTAAAGCAAAGCATTTTTTCATGTTG